TGTTCCCATGCACTGAGCGCAGTAATACCAAGCCCTTCGATTCTGGCTGAATATCTACAGTTAGTACCCACTGCTTGTTCGTTGTAAGTGCTCCACGTCTGAATGGGTCGCTTACTTTTCCATTCATACACTTTTTATAAATTCGTAAAAATGCATATCTGTAATTCGGTCTGTCTGTTTCCTTAGTTTAATTATGGGTTTATAAGCTAAAGACCTAATAATTTGGGGACATGACGGCAATAGTTTCATACTTTCATATGCGTATCATTTAAATTCGAACAACCGATTAACGAGCGAGCTGTTTGGTTTGTTGGAGATTCATTAAAATAATTTGTATGCATATATGTGCGTGCATTTGTCTATTTCTATAGAAAATCAAATTCAAATCCCGGGGCCGGGGTGAGCAGGAAAAGAGCATTTGAGTTGGACTGGAACAACGGCGTTTCACAAACATTGACCACTAGGCATAATCTTCCAGTGCGATGATAACTATTGCTCACAGAGTCATCGTCGCTCCAAATTAATTTAAGTATTTTGTTTTTTTTGAAGGGAGCTGAAATAGGATTTCAATTTCCATTTCTCTTCATAAAGCTTTTTAAAATTTTCTTATAAGTGATTTACGCAAGTAAAATTACTTGTGATTTGCCGCTAAATGACAAAGCAGTTGTAGCCGGTGCCACCGTCGTTAGCGCTGCTTGCCGCTGCTTATATTTATTACGATTTGTACTGGAAACGACGATTGCTTCCGCCTGGGCCAACACCTTGGCTGTTTTTTGGCAATCTTTTTCACTTCATGTTCTATCGGTCCATTGATGAAATGTTCCTCGCATGGAAACAAAAATACGGTTAACCACAAAGCTATTATTTCCAAATGCTTGCTTCCTTTTTATTTATTTTAAGCAGCCTACAGTGAAATCTCTGAAATTTCTCTAATTTGTACTGATTCTATGATTCTTGCTGTGGAATTTTTGCTTTGTTGCTGATATACAATGGGGTCGAAATCTTTTTGTCTTTCAGCTGGGAAGGTTGGAAATCTAAAATTGAGGAGCAAAGCGAAATTTTATTAAAATTTGTTATT